GCTACCCATGGCGGTTTTTTGGGCTCGGGCTGCATTCGTGATTGTGGCGGTCTTCAATGAAAACCCTAACCCCTCGCCCCCTCCTCTGCTTCTTCGGCCGGGCTGCTACTGACAGCCTAAGACAATGCTATCGCCATCAGGTAAGCTGTGTTAAGCAATGATACCTTTCTCTAGTTCTACAACTCCCTCCCATCCACCCTTTACCCAACCACTGAACTTTCTCACCCTTGTCACTTGCTTTTTAATCAGTGAGTTAAAGTGAAATTGCCCAGTTCATGAACTGGACAGTCATTTTGCCCAGTTCATGGAATGGGTTCCCAACCTAAACCAACTCGACCTAACCTAACCTAACCAAACCTAATTTAAACTAACTTAGTTTAGCCTAACCTAGCCAACCATAACTAGGCTAGATTAGGAGTCCATTAAACGAACTAGCAAAAGGACCTAAACTAACTCAACCTAAACTAACCCAACAAGATTTAGGTTTGCTAGGTTACGTTAGGTAAGGTTAGGCTGATTTAAAATAAGTTGAGTTGGGTTAGTTTGTGAGCCCTTTTCACGAACTGGGCAAAATGACTGCCCAGCCCATGAACTGGGTAATTTCTCAGTACATACCAGGGTATTAACATAAGAACATAAGAATGGAGGAAACTGCAGCAGGCCTATTGGCCCATACTGGGCAGTCCCATTTACGCCCAACCCCTATGTTTAAAGCTATCCAGCGTAATTGAGTTAATGATGATGTTTGGTAACTTGTTCCACTAATCCACTACACTATTTCCAAACCAATATTAAATTTGTCTAATTTAAAACTATTGCTACGAGTTCGCTCCTGGTTGGATAATTTGAGTACCTTTGTTATATTACTTTGTTTAGCCCTGACTTCCATTTATACACCTCGATCATATCGTCCCTCACTCTACATCTCTCGAGGTGCAAATTAAGATGCTTTAACCTGTCTCTGTACTCCAGGTTCCTAATGCCCGAGATTAGTCTTGTCATTCTCCTCTGAATTCTTTCTATGGATTCTATATCCATTCTATAGTACGGTGACCAGAATTGAGCTGCGTAATCCAAGCTGAGGTCTCACAAGCGCAAGATATAGTTTTAGGATAATCTCGCTAGTCTTGTGACTGAACTCCTTTGTATGGATACAAGTACTTTGTTAGCCTTGTTTCGTACAAATACGCATTGTTGACCTGGTTTAAGGTTCCTATTTATCATTACTCCTAAATCTTTCTCACAGTCGGATTTCTCTATAACATTAATGCAGTTTCACTCCCAATTGGGTTAGATCAATTTTGGGCTCACCAGAAGTTGTCTCGTCAATTGCAACAACTTTTTCTAATACCACTTCTGTTGCAAATGGATGATAAATGAGATGGTAAATTCACTTAGGAAATTTACGTAAATCTGCAGTCACCGCGTATCTTCTGTTTGTTTACAACTGACCCGTAAAATTACACCATGATGTTAGACAAAGTTGGTTTCATTGGTACCATATATTAAAATAAGTATTTTCCGTATAATATGGCGCGGGGGGGTGGGGGTGTGGGAGGCGGAGCCCCATGGCTAGGAAGTTAAGTAAGGTTAGGTCAGGTTCTGCAGAAAGGGGGGGGGGGTAATAACTAAAAAACGACTCATTTCCGTCTGAAATGAAGGTCAGATTCGAAGGAATCACACCAAATAACACAGGCAAAACATAGATTTCTGGCCAAAAATCAATTGGTACTAAACTACAATTTTACCCAAACCAGAGTTCTGATTTCTTCCATTTAATTTCTCATACTTCTACTGTCCACGTTTTGGGTTTAACGCTCTGACTAATTTAGCTTTATCGTCATTTCTAGCACGATTTCTATGTAACCTTTCGTTATATATACCCATGTCAACTGCCCTCTCCTTGACCCCCGTGCTCTCATGTTCCCTTAGCAGTTTAAAGACTTCGACATCTTTTCAACTACCCTCCCGAGAGAGCCAGCCGGGATGCCACTCCGTCACTAGATAAATGCACCCTGTCCCTTGCATACAGTCTCTTCTGCCGTAGAAGTTTCGCAGTTGTCAATGAATGGGACTGATATTGACTTGCAATACCAGTCAAGATGGCTGTTGTCACCAACTGCCCTTAACAATCATTCACTAACAACTCTCCTTCTAGGCAGGACACCACTTACGATAGGGATCTCTCCCTTCATCCTTGTCCGGTCAATAGCTTCCTTGAACTTATCAAGGAGCTTTTCACTTCTACACCGGCCAATATCGGTGCCTTCTGCACCGAGGCAAAAAATGGGTTTGTTCCCATTACAATATATGATATTGTCCATCCTGTCTACTAAGTCACCCACCCCAGCTCCTTGGCAAACACACTCTTATTTTCCTGTTTATGAACTTATTAAAAATGGTACGATCTAGGCACCTTACCTGCGAATCACCAACAATTACAGTTTTCTTACATTCTACAGTATGTCCGCCTCGCCCTTAACTGTCTTACCACCCATTTCGTCCTCTGAAGGACTAAATGCGTTTGTACTGTACATAAGGTGATATTTTGGCCTTCTCCACTACCAGCCATGTCGCCCCTCTCTTCGCTATATATATATATATATATATATATATATATATATATATATATATATATATATATATATATATATATATATATATATATATATATATATATATATATATATATATATATATATATACACACAGGGGGATTAACCGGCTGATAACTGCTGAGTTTTCTTAAAATAACCAGTTGTTTATGATATTAAACCGATTTCCATATTCTCGAATGTTTGTTGTTGCAATACTCTTGAATGGTTTCATTCTTCAGGTGCGAGGCGTATTTTGGAAAACCTTTCCCTCTTATATCGGTGGCCAGTGAGTGAAGCTCGAATGTCATTGTTAAGTAAATACACTCTATCCGAAATAAAATTTCTTCCTATAATTCTGTAAAGGCCAGATAAACCCTCCTATGATACTAACATACAACACATTACTAGTGAAGTGGATAACAGGAGTCAACACTAGTAAACAAATACAGAATTCAGTCCTACATGACATGGTATTATAAAACTTCAAAAACACGAAATTGTGCATTTTTAGTGATCTTTGACCTCAGTAAATTGGTATAAATGTGTTGGGCCGACGTCTTGGTATATTTGTGCCAATCTTCATCTAAATTGGTGGAAACTTGACCGAACAATTGTTAAATACTTTTTGGGGTGGTTTGACCTTTGACCCTATAAAATCCATTTTGACCATCAAAATAAACAGGTCTGTCAAGTTTCAATTTAACTGCCTTAAAATTGAAAGAATGACGTTTGATTTTTACTTGTTTTACACGAAAAAGGAAAGAACAGTTCTCCCTCATGCAAGGAAAATAATAATTACTACTACTACTACTACTACTACTACTTTTTTTTTATAGTGGCCTCCAGCCTCCCCCAATAGCCACACCTTCTCCGCCATTTTATTACCTTAATATTAAATATCCTACTACTACTACTACTACTACTATTACTACTACTACTACTAATGATGATGATGATGATGATAATAATACTGCATTTCGACAACTGTTAAAGTTGAGGAGAGACAGACATTAAAATGTTGGAGAAATTGATAGGTTAAGACAGGATGTAAACGAAAACCTTAGAATGGCATTTCCAGGAGAGGATGGAATCAAAGTGGAAATGTTAAGGATAGGTAGGAAAATGGCAATAAAAGTCAAGCGTGAACAGGTTAGGCATAAAAGATGGAAGAAACACTAAAAGAATGGCTGAGCATGTATAGTTCTTACATATAGAAGGAATTCCTAGAGTAATGTGGGAGTTATTATACATGATATTTTTGCAGTAATGGGGTAATTGTAAAAGGATGTTCAAATTTTTACTGGGAGAGCGATGTATTTGTCAGAGTGTCTCGGGAAGAGAGAACTGGTTACTAGTGAACTCAAGTCTAAGTAAAGGATGTGCAATGTCACCAATTTTCAATATTTTCATGGCTGAGGCAAACAAAAATACAAGATGCAATGGGAAATAAGTCAGCTGCTGTAATTTGATAACACTGCTTTGGTAGGCGATTGAGACGAAAAATTACAAATGTTAGTGAATGAGTTCCGAAGTGTGTATGGCTACGAGGACAATCTTAATTGCGAATGTGAACAAAAGTAAAAATGGTGAAAATAAGTAGAGTAAGGAGACTTAAGTTTGAATATACAGTATATACAGAATGGAAGAATTGAGAAGTTTCAGAGATCCTGGAATGGATGTGTTAGTGAAGGAACGGGTGTTGATTAAAAAGCAGTAAATGGAAATGAAATATATTTTGTACTGAAATTTTTTTAGAGAAAGAGAATTGTCAAAGAAAGCATAATTGGGAGTGTATAGAGATGTTAAGCCTACGTCACTCTTGAGTGTGAAACTGGAAACGAAGAAATTAGACGAAGATGAAGTTAGCTTTATAAGTGCCGGAGAAGAGAGCTGACCAGGATGTGTTAATATGATATAAACATAGCCGACTGATTTAATGAAAAGTGAAAAATGGTATAGTGTATAATTCAGAAGTAGATAATAGAAAGGGGCTGGGAAGACCAACTAGGGTGGAAGGATTGAATAAAGGAGGTACTAAAAGTGAGAAGGATTGATTTAAGGAGCAGAGGTGGATGTGAATGATTGGAAAGTATAGTGCTGAGTGGTTTGTGAGTGAATGGATGATAGGAGTTAGGCGAGCTGTGTTTGTCCTAGCTTCCGGTCACCGTGTAACAATTGTGGAAAAAAGTATGAAATTATTGAAATGAATACTAAATATTATCTGTAGAATAGTAATAATAGTTAAAAAGAACTCAGCCCAAAACACTTAATATGAATGTAAATTTCTCAGAAACGATTTTCTTTATTGTATTAGAGACATTATAAAAACAAACTCACTGAGAATATAACTGCCATAACATATCTTACTCTTTACATGAAAATGAAATGATCATAAGAGGTTACCTCATCCTGAATATTCCTCATAAGGTCACGGAGGTCCTCTTCAAGCGGGATGGTAGCATTGTTCCAGCGGGCGGCCTTCTGTAGGACACGGAGGGCACTGTCGTGTTGGCCGTTCACTATAAGCCAGCGAGGTGACTCGTCCATGAAGCTGTATAAAGAAGAAGGTCGCCGGGATAAGGTGGCTCGCCTATAGATTACTTTCTTTGACAGTAATTCTTTTTTATAATATCAAATGGCGTACAGACGTCATCATTTTGAGAACTGTGGGCAAGAAGAAGGACCAAAACAAATGGCGTGAAATCTGTTTGAAAGGGGTCGTGAAACCGTTATCATCGTCAAAGCTGCCAACACTTCACTTCAGTCTTCATTTTGCTACCGATCACAGTGTTGCTCATGAAGTGACTTGGTCAAGTGATACGATTCACTCTCGCATCAACGATATATTGTTCGATATCAAGAAACAAGTTATTACAGCTGTAAAAGCTACCGGTCAGTTTAGGCTTCAGATGGATGGAATAGCCCACCCGGGCACAGGTCATCGACCTACAACGGGGCCTAGGGGGGGGGGGATACGAGTAAAAATAAATTAAATATAGAAGAGAAAAAAGACTATATTAACCTACACCACGAAGATGCCGGAAAACCAGCGTTTTGAAGTGAGACAGATTGTGGGAGTATGGAAGAAGGCAGAGCATTTCACAGTTTGGCTGTGTGAGGAAAGAAGGATGTACTATAACGGGTTATTCTAGTGTGACCGACACCCACAGAGAAACGGTGGGCACCGCGGGCAAGACGAGTGGTACGAGCCCACGGCCTTTCCGGCGGTACACAGGATGCCAAATCCACTGAACATTGCCCGTTAAAGTACCTGTTAAAGAGAGTGAAGCAACGTTGCGGCGAAGAGAAAGGGAAGAGAGATTATCAACTAAAGGAGGAGAGTTAATAAGACGAATTGCCTTGGATTCCACCCTATCTAACAGTTGGACAGAAGAAGAGCCACCCCAGATATGAGAGGCTGTGACATTTTTGATACCCGGTATGGTGGATCACTTCTTCAAAGAAGAGATGACATAGATTCAATGTTACAGAATCTGCTGTGATGGAACACAATTTATGCTTTGGCTTTGCTTTGCTGCTCGTGTAAAGTAAGTGAATCTTATTATGTTAATTGTCTTCTTTGTCGTGAGAACCTTGCTTCAAAAAAGTTGTTGCATGAATTGGCTGTCATCATGAATGAGGGAGTTCAAGTGACGAACTTCGTCAAAGCAAGAGCGCCCAACTTGAGGCTGTTCAGGGACATGTGCTCAGGTTTAATTCCGAACACATCCACTTGCTATATCATTCGGAGGTCAGGTGGTATTCACGGAGAAAGATCCTGGAACGAACTATGGCCTGAGAACTGAGCTTGAAATATTTCTCGGCGAGAAGAAACATGGTTTGGGTGGAAAGTTCTGAGCCGAGAAAAAAATGCTCCAAGTGGTCTACCTAGAAGATTTATTTGGTGAAATTAACTGACTCAATACTTTCATGCATGGTCTAGGTCACACTTTCATAGAAGTCAGTGACAAGCTGTCCTCATTTAAGGGCAAACTGAAATTGTAAAAAGGGAAAATGGAGTGAGGAAAGACTGACAGTCATTTTCTTAGTCGTTCGGGAACTAGGCGAACACGTTCGGGAGCTAGGTGAACACGTTCGGGAGCTAGGTGAACACGTTCGGGAGCTAGGTGAACACGTTCGGGAGCTAGCTTTCCACACATGAATGGGTTTCTAAGACGCGTGGGAAGTTAGCTCCTGAACGTGTTCACTTTGTTCCCGAACGACTAAGAAAACGTCTGAACGTCTCCCATC